TCTACAGGAGAGAAGAGTGTGGAATGACCCCTGTTTGGGAACAACACAATGTGGCCACCACAGGGGATCCATGCAGGCCTTCCCCAGTCATACGTGCCCTTGTTCTGAAGCCCCGTGAGGCTGCAAACCTACAGCCGCAGGCCTCCAGCCCACACATGTTTGTCTTCTGGGCGGTTAACGCGAGCTAGGAAGAATCCAGGACTGTTGGTGCTAGCATGCCCGCCTTCAGAGCCAGAGGTACCCCTGCTTCAGTCCCGGGGCGCACATGCTCCTCTGTCTTAGCCTCTTCTTTACTGTGCTGGATGAAACCACTGTTCTAGAACCGACTTCACCTCCACAGCCACTGCCTTGAGCAGGGCCCGGTGTGAGAACTTGGAGAGAAGCTGAGTGTGTGCAGAGGGGCGTGCACTGCCTCAGGGCTCAACCCACGTCCTCTGGCTGCAGAGAGCTAGAGCGAAGGCAGAGGAGGCTCTCTCTGCTTCTAACCTCGGTTTACTTACTAATGGAGCATCAGCGAAGGTTCTGGGGTTCTCCATGCTAAGGCAGAGGAGGCTGTGCTTCTAACTTCAGTTTACTTACTAATGGAACATCAGTGAAGGTTCTGGGGTTCTCCATGTCTGGCGTGTTTGAGGCCTCCTGGGTGTTCTCTTTGATCCAAGTTGCCTGTAGTGGCATGTAAGTGGGCCAAGAGCCTGGGAGGCATTTATGACAGCTGGTCCCCTGCTCTCTTCCTTAGAGAAGGGGCCTTAGAGGTCCACTGTGGACCAGGAGAGCCAAGGCAGGTTCCCTGAGATGCCAACCTCTTGTTTGTGAAGAGAAACATCAGGAGGGCACCAGGGCAGGTGTTTGAGCAGGATCAGTAAGGGACAGGGAAGGCCCTAGGGGCCCTATAAAACACCCAAGCCAGCCATGTAGCTGTCCAGCAGACTTTGAGGGCTCTCTTGTCCTAAACGTATGAAGCAGTCGTCACTTTCCCTTTCTCTGAGACTTAGTCTGTCTTCCTCAGCCTTTCAGCTCTTCTGCCACCCCAGACAACAGCCATCACCCCATTGCCTGCCCGCCCTCCCTCCCTTCCTCCCTCCCTCCCTCCCTTCTCCCCCCTCCCTCCCTCCCTCCCTCCCTTCTCCCCCCTCCCCTCCTTCCTCCCTCCCTCTTCTCACCAGAATCTGTAGAGTCCCTTTCCTGAGGATTCTTGGTTTCAAGTAGCCAGTTTTAGCCAGAGCTCACTTTCCACAGCCCCCCCCCCCCATCTATACCTCAGGGAAGGGGACTCCTTACAGTCCTTAGTTTGCAGAATAGATCCCAGAATAGGTCTGGGTATGGCATGCCCTGGTCCTCCACTTGAGTTGTGGGCTGGGCCTTGCTGTTCAGTCTAGTTGTGAAGGTGGGAGGATGTTGCTCTCCTTAAAGGCACAGGATATCCTGGCAGGAGTTGCTTTGGTTGTGTGATGCGGCCAGCCTGTGTGCACTTGGCCTGGGGATACACCGTTTGTCAGAGAGCAGCCATGTTTTTCCTGTACTTTGTCCCCCACCCCCACCTCACAAAATGGCCAGAGTCCAGAGGAAGACACCGTTCAGCTCCTTGCTATTCAGAACAGTGACTGTATAGAGGTGCAGGAATCGGGGTAGTTGTGAAGGCCAGAGGCTTTCATATGGGGAGGGTGGATTTGCAGGCAGAGCTGCCTTAGGTCTACAGGCCTCCTGAGGAACTTCTCTGGACTGCAGCTGTGGAAAAGGAGGGCAGCCTTCGGTGGTTTGGCTGTGGATTGCCTTGCATAGGCACCTGCACTATGGAGTTGGCCCCAGCTGGCAGTGCTATTTTGGGAGGCTGTAGAAACAGGTCACTGGGGGCATCTGACGAGCCTGTTTCTTTCCAATTGAACTACTCCTTCCTGGAGGGAGCCGGAGTGTTCAGACACTAAGGAAGCTCACCAAGGAGGCTCGAACCATCAAGAAACTTTCCCTCCAGAGGTTACCCAAGCAAGAAGGAATTGTGGGGGAGTCTTTAACAGAGCTGCCCACAACTTGAGCGGGGAGCTCCGAGGGGCAGATTTCCTGAGTGCCAAGGTGAGTTTTCAGTGAGGATCCTCGGAGTCAGCCATGCTCCTGTAGTAGCCCCTCACCCCCAATGCTATGACCCCCCCACACCCAGTAAAACCCCACAGTTCGCCCTGCTAAGCTTATGTTATGTTGGAAATGTGTGGTTTGTTAACGACTCCCCAAGGAGAGGTTCCTGGGACTACCTTGTCCCTGCCTCCTGTGTCTGTACTGGTCACCGTGGCGTGAGCTCCTTCTCCATGTTCCTTACCACAGTGACCTGCCAGCGACCTCTGAAACCCTGATCCTCTGTCACAGTGACAGAGAGCCCTACACAACTCACCATGAAAGATCAAGTCCCCTATGTAGCACGATTAATGAAAACCCAAAGATAGATATTGGGGTTCAACCTGAAGGTCAGGAAATCAAAACAGCCGGTCACTGGCTCTTCCCTCTACCTCAGTCCGAAAATGGCGATCCTGCCTCCAGGAATCTCAAAATGAGACTGTGTGAGAGCTGTCTCCTCCTGTCTTATATTCCTCTCTAGTGCTGGTTCTAAAGATGTGCACCACTACCGCCTGGTTTCTATGGCAAACCAGTGTGGCTACTGGGATTAGAGGTGTGTGTCACCACTGCCTGGTCTGTAAACTGATTGGTGCGGCTGTTTTACTCTCTGAACTTCAGGCAAGCTTTCTTTATTAAAATACAAATGGAATGTCATGATATCCTTCTCATAAAAGACAGACTGACGAGACTGAAACACACCAAGAAACACGTGAAGTCCAAGAGGACTTCAGAAGTGAAGTCTAAAGACCCAGGTGAATGGCCCTCTTCATGTGTGAGCTTGGTGGGATGTTCACTGTGTGGACACGTGGGGAGGCAGAACATGCTTGGCAGCCGCCAAGGGAAACACTCAGGTTGTGGGCCAGTCACCTGGGCGGCTGCTGTTCTGAGGCCGGGCCCCTCTGCAGTGCGAGCTAATAGGGCCCAGAGTGTTTGTGGCCAGCTCTGACGTGGCAGACAAGGGAAGCTAGGGAGATATTATTAGGTTCAGTGACTGTTGTTGAGGAAAATGAGTCTGGTTCCTGTGTCTGTGCCCTGGAAAGAGGAATCCCCATCTCTGCTGAATCCTGAGGGAGGAGGGGGAGGGGAGAGAACTCTGCTGCTAAGGCCTTCCTCTCCCTTTCCTGTGCCTGCTTTCCTGCTGAGCCCCATCCACAGCTGCTGAGCCCTGTTGATAGCCCCTGACATTTCCTGGAGACACATGGGAAGACATGCTGTGGGAGGGGCTTTGTTTGTATGTTTGGGAAACAACCATGGGAGGTAGCAGGGTCTCACTATGTAGCCCTGGTTGCCCTAGACCTCTGTGTAGCCCAAGCTGGTCTCAAACTCATAGACATTTTCCTGCCTCTGCCTTCCGTGCTGGGATTAAAGTCATGTACCACAACATCCTACTTTTAAGATTTAATTTTTATAAAGGTGGCAGGGGTGTGTGTCGTGTGTGTGTGTCGTGTGTGTGTGTGTAAATTGTGGGAAAATGTAAACAGGAAAGCACAGGCAGATTGGGTTCATTGATGCTATGTTCCTTATATCAGACTTCAGTATTGTCAGCTGTCTCTCTACACGCAACACGCAACACATCTCTCTGCCCGCAGCGTGTCTCTGCATGCGGTGTCTGGGGCTGTTTCACTCCTTGAAGGCCTGAGTTAACTGCAGTCCGTAAGACCATATGAGGAAGAAAACTGCAGTTGCCTCAGCTGTTCTGGCATATTCTCCTGTGTTTGCGAGGAGCAGGTACCACAGTCCGCTCACCGCCAGCTCTGAGAGAGAGAAACACATGCAGTCCATACAGGTCGTAAAACCTGCAGAAGCAGCTGGCTCTGTTTTTACTTTTTTGGACTGCTGTGCCGCAGAGGCCACACTTCCCACACGGCCGACCCCTCCCCTCTCAGCAATGGAAGCTACCTTCCTTTGGCTGACCTGGGCTTCACTACTTGAGGTTCCTCATGTGAGTGGAGTTCTTTTTATAGCCAGGTGGTGGTGGTGCACACCTTTAATCCCAGCACTGGGGAAGAAGAGGCGATAGATCTCGGTGAGTTCGAGGCCAGCTTGGTCTATAGACCTGGTTAGTTCTAGGACAGCCAGGGCTACACAGAGAGACTCAGTTTTGAAAAACAAAAACAGACAAACAAAAAATTTCCTTTTGTGACTGGCCTCTTCTTTCATCTAACCCCAAGTCTTAGAGGTTCATTTGTGTTGTGTGTTGGAATCTTCTCTTTTTTTCTTTTTGTTTTTTCGAGACAGGGTTTCTCTGTAACAGTCCTGGTTGTTTTGGAACTCTCTTTGTAGACCAGGCTGGCCTCAAACTCACTGAGATCCACCTACCTCTACCTCTTAAATGCTGGGATTAAAGGTATGTGCCACCACCACTTGGCACTGGAATCTCCCTTTAAAAGGCTATGCAGTACACCTGTAATACACCATGTGTCTGTCTGTCTACTCGTGGGCTCTAAGATCACTTCACCTCCTGGCTGTGAGGCAGATTGCAGTGAATGTGGGCAATTGAGAATCCTTTATTTGCACTTATATTCAGAGAGATTGTGGGGTTTGGGACAGAGTCATCCATGCAGTTTAGCAAATGCATACTTTTTTGTCCAGAGCAGCAGGAAGTTTGGCTGGGGAAGTCCTGTTCCTAGAGTGGGCCTTCTTAGTCCCTCATTTTCCACCCCTCCATACCCGTGTAAAAGAGACCCTCTCTAGAATAGTGTCTGCGTGGTAGAGGAGTTTTACCAGTACCCTTCTGGGGACTCCTCTACCATTGCCAAATTACTCCCAAAGCAAGCATCTCTCGGCACGTGTTCCTCTCCCGGCACGTGTTCCTCTCCCGGCACGTGTTCCTGTCTGTGTTCATCTCTTGGCACACATTTATCAGCTGTCTGATTTGGCGTTTGTCTTCCTTGCAGGCGATTTTAGTGAGTAACATCACCACAGGCGAGAAGCTCATCAGAGACCTGCAAGGTAAGCCCCCTTCCGCCAGCCCAGCAGCTGCCTGCCTGGCCCTGTCCCAATGCCTCACAATGGCCTCCCGTGGCCCTGTCACTATGATCTTATGTTAGGAGTAACTGAGCCATCCCTAATGTAGTCTTATCTGTCCTTATAAAATATTATGGTGACGTTGCAAGTTATGATGGATGTAATTCAGCCCTTGGTTTATGACTCTTTAGGAAATACTGGGAGTGTGTGCTGAGTTTGGGGCACTTGCCTGGTGTTCACAAGACCTTAGGTTCAGTCCCCACCACCAAACAAGTAATGAAGGCTCAATGTGAGCATCCCTGATGTAAGAGCCTCCACCACCATGTGGAAGATCCACATCTGACCTCAGGCCAAGGTCAGACTGCACAAAATTCTTGTGCAAAGTTATTTTTTTTAAGTTTTGTTTTTACTATTTTTTTATTATTTTTTAAATTTATTATGTATACAATATTCTGTCTGCATGTATGCCTGCAGGCCAGAAGAGGGCACCAGATCTCATTACAGATGGTTGTGAGCCACCTTGTGGTTGCTGGGAATTGAACTCAGGACCCTTGGAAGAACAAGCAATGCTCTTAGCCTCTGAACCGTCTCTCCAGCCCATGCAAACTTATTTTTGAGCTGCGTATATAAAGCACGTATGAGGGCCGGTGAGGGGGCACAGCAGGAAAGACACTTGCTGCCCAGCCTGATGACCCGAGTTTGATCCCAAGGCCACATAGCCCAAGGAGAGGACTGATTCTCACAAGTTGACCTTTGACCTCCACACATGCGCAGTGGTGCACACACAAGTAAAAAGTCTAATAATTAAAAACTTTAATAGAGATTTCAAATAGGATCGAGGAGCAGGTTTCTGTGGGAGAGATTTCTGGTGGTTGGCATCGTGATGGCAGGGGAGGGGCTCTTCTCTCTCTCTCCCATTCTGCTCCCCTCTGCGTCATTTGTGCTGAGTGTGTTGCTGTTGTGTCTTGTGTGTCTGAGTGGCAGGACAGCCACACAGAGACCAGTGGAGTGATTTGCCCCCTTGCCTTAGCCCAGCTGAAGGCTCTGCAGAGCAGTTATGGCAGACTGCAGGAGGACATCTTCCAGTCCCAGAGGAACCAGACTAGCCTGGAGAAGAGGTTCTCCTATGACCTGTGAGTGTGGCTTGGGATGAACCGCACCCCCTGGGGAGGAGGGTCTGGGTTCTGAGCATCAGAGGCCAAGGACAGAGTCCAGTCCGCTCACTCAGCCTGGCACAGAGCTGGGAGTTGTCGTATGGAGCATGTGAGAAGGGACTTAGGCTTCTGGGGTCATGCCCTCTAGAAATCAGCATTCTGTCTGGTAAGTATCAACCAGCAGGGCTCATTAGACAAAGTAAGAAAGGTGTGTTTGTATGCATGCTTGCGTGTGTGTGCACTTGGGTGTGGAGCATGAATCTAATTGGTTTTAACAATAAAGCCCCAGAGTCCGATATTAGGGGGTGAAAACTGAAAGATTGGAGAAGTAAAGCAGCCAGCCACTAAAGTTTTGACCTCTACAAAATTCTTAAACAGAAAGGCGAGATCCTGTCGCTACCTGTCTAGTGCTGGGATTAAAGACGTGTGCCTCCCAAGTACTAGGATCAAAGGCATGAGATCCCGAGTGCTGGGATTAAAGGTGTGTGCCACCACTGCCTGTTCTCTGTGGCTAGCTAGTGGCTTAGCTCCACCCTCTGATCTTCAGGCAAGCTTTATTTGTTAGATCACAAAATCACAGCACACAGGTGCATTGTGTGTACCTACGTGCGTGCACACACGCATGCAAGCAGTGCTCAGCAGGAAATGAACTAGCACTGTACCATCCCATTTACACCTCAGAAGCTCAGTAATAGAAAGCACAGTAGGACTGTTACCTTGGCAGTCCCAACACTTAAAAAATGTCAGGCGTGGAACTGGAGAGTTGGCTCGGTGGTTAAGAGCACTGGCTGCTCTTCCAGAGGACCTGGGTTCAGTTCCCAGCACCCACGAGGCAGCTCACAAGCGTCTGTACCTCCCGTTGATCTTTTACCAGTCTATTTAACCCACACAGACATTAACATGCATGTCAGACGTCATAGGAAACAGGTAGGACCTGGAGAAGGTGACGCCACCCAGGAAGGGCCAGCATCCGAGGGGAAATACCTGACATTCCAAACCATTAGACAAGATCACTAGATGTCCCTGAACCCTGGACTCACCCACTCCCCTCACCCCAATCTCTGTTGTGATAACCAGCTTTGGGGACACCCAGACCTTTTGTCAGTAAGGGCGGGCATGCTTTCTTCCTATCTTTTTGAAGGGGAGAAGGGTCACGGCTTCACAAGGTTTCTACAGAATTGACAGTGACTGTCCAAAGGACAGGTGCTCCCGGAGCCCTGCAAAATGTGTTCCCCGTAAGTTGTACACTCGTGGATCTAAGAATCCGTCAACTGTACATTTACTATATAATGTTTGTGACTCCAACAAGCTTCAGAGTATTTCATCATTTAAAGGTATTTGGGATTTTATTCTTCCACAAGACACTCAGTATAGGTTTATCTTGTCACCAGCTGTACATTGCCAAATTACTTGCATTCTTTCTTGTTTTATTTTGGAATGGGTCTTCCTGTGTAGCCCCAGTGACCCTAAATTTTGTATAGGTCAGATTGGCCTGGGACTCATCATCTCCCACCCAAGTGCTGGGATCACTACACAGTACTTCCTCGTTGCTTCCTAAAAGTAAGCTGGGTATGCAGACCCCAGAAGCCCGGAGTAATCGCTGCCTTACATATACCAGGCTCACAGAATGCCCATGTCCTTTGGAAATACCAACAACTTGCCTGATTTCCTAATTATTTCAAAACCCAATCCTGCAAACAGCATGAAGTCTGGAGCACATTAATTCATTGCTAAATACCAGGGCAGGTGCCGAGCACTGCATCCTCAGCAGGCAGGGCAGGTGCCGAGCACTGCATCCTCAGTAGGCAGGGCAGGTGCCGAACACTGCATCCTCAGTAGGCAGGGCAGGTGCCGAGCACTGCATCCTCAGTAGGCAGGGCAGGTGCCGAGCACTGCATCCTCGAAGCTAATATTTCCTCCAAACCAGTGGTTTTGCTTGATAAGTTATGACCCAAGATTTCAGCCTATCAGAAGTCAGCTATGGGCCAGAGGGAGACATGTGGGTCCTAGGTCGGGCAGTGGCTGTTGTGCTATCCTGGGTTGTGTGTGCATGGAGACACTTGTACTAAGAGGTGAGCAGCCTTGATGGTCGGTCTTTCTGGCTATCCGTCTCACCCTAGCCACAGGCTAGCCATCCATAGCTTTCATCATTGAGGTGGCTTTCCGGAGGGGAGGGGACACCTTTGTAGGTTGTGTTGTTAAGACTGCCCCCATCTCTGCTAAGAGATCACGTGCCCATAGATTGACAGGCAGGCCAGGAAGAACATATGGCTGGAAAAAACCCTCATATCCTTCTTCATCATGTCATTTCAATATTTTTGAACTTTTTTGAGGAGTTGTTTGACCTATTCCCTGCAGCCGTACAGTACCTTCTTCCAAGGGCCATGCCTTTGGCCAATTTTTTTAAAAAATATTTATTTATTTATTTACTTATTATGTATACAATAGTCTGTCTGTGTGTATGTCTGCAGGCCAGAAGAGGGCACTAAACCTCATTACAGATGGTTGTGAGCCACCATGTGGTTGCTGGGAACTGAACTCCGGACCTTTGGAAGAGCAGGCAATGCTCTCAACCACTGAGCCCTCTCTCCAGCCCCTTTGGCCAATATTTTAAGGACAAAGCTGATACATCTGCCCCAGAATCTAATACACCATCAAAGCCCTTTCCCTCTATAGTTATTCTAAATTGGGGCCGTTCACTTAACTGTGCAACCCAGAAGGCAGCCGTTCCAGGGGATCCAAACCCTTGCTTGCCACGGGCTCGTGTATCTTTATAGTCTGCATCTACTATCCCAGGATATATCTGGATCCCCTTTAAAAGGGTACTGCTTCTGCCTAATATAAGTCCCATGGTACCTGGTGGTAACGGCCCATATGCTCCTGTAGGGAGTGCTTGCACTCCCATTTGTGGAGTTAAGACTGCTCTGGCTGAGGGCACAGAGGTCCTATCCTGCATTCCCTGATGTGGCTCCAACAAGGTCTGCAATGCGAAAGGATTTCTCTGCGGAAGGAACTGGACATGGCCTCTGCTGGGGTACCGTCCCTGTGGTCCCGCGGTCATTGCTCCATACACTGAGGTTTTGGGACCCTGGAGCAGGGCCCTCTGCCAGTTTCCCTGCTGTTAATTAATGGTACGTGGCAGAGCTTTCCCATCTATATCTGTTTTAGAGAAACAATCTTTAGCCTAATGTGCTCCCCTTCTGCATCTAGGGCACAAGCCAGGTTTCCTCCTTCCCTTCATTATCAGCTGTGGGCATTCCACAGACCAGGAGTTCTGCAGTTCAAACAATTACGGCCTCCGCCCTCTCTCCCAGTCCTCTTATGTTTCTCCGAGGTTGAATAGCTGCCGCTATAACCTGGGCTTGAATGAAATTCTCATCTCCCATCTGTATCTCTGCATAACCTGATATATTCATTTAAACTCTGTTTTGTGAGGGCGTAATGCTCCCTTACAATATCTATTGGCATTTTCAAATACAAGTTGCTTTATTATGGGCATGGCTGTTGTTTCATCTCCAAACAATCTACCTGCTAATTGTAACAGTCTATCTACATAATCTTGGAATGGTTCAGATGGTCCTTGTGAAACTTTTGATAATTGATCCCCAGCTGCTTTGTTAGGTAGGGCCTTCCAAGCTTTAGTGGCAGCTGCAGCTATTTGGGCAAATACTTCTAGATCATACAGAATTTGTTGCTGCAAATCATCATAAGTCCCAGCCCCAGTTAACATATCTAAATTACGTTGAGCTTGACCCGCTAGTGCATTTAACTGGGCCGTTTGCTTACAATTTTCTCGATATTCCCCTCGCCATAGGAGATAATCTCCCCCAGATAAGACAGCATGACATAGTTGCTGCCAATCACTTGGTGTTAAATTCAGAGCAGAGAAAGATTCTACCATGGATAACGTGAAGGGTGCTTGAGCCCCATATACAGCTACAGCTTCCTTTAATTGTTTCATTTCTTTAAATTGTATTGCAAAATGTTGGCGAATTATTTGCCCTGGGTTGTTGGGGTCTGGCACCTCCATTACCGGTGCAACCATGTGTGCAGGACGGAAACAAACTCCCTTGTTTTGTTCAGTGCCAGAGCCCCTACTCAACTGAGACCACCAACCTTCATCATTATAAACCGGTGGGGCCGAAGGAGTTTGGTGTAAATCTTTTTTTACTTTATGCTTTTACAGTTTTCTAAAGAGATTTCTTATTTCCCTACATATGATTTCCTCCTCTTCTTCTGATGCATCCTCACTATCTTCTACAATCTTGAAATCAAACTCCTCCCTAGCTACTGACTCTTTTCTGAACAAGGCAGGAAAGATACTGCCAACAGCTCCCATCTTAACTCCTCAATATGTCTCCGTTGGCCTGGAATGACCCTGTTCGCTTACAATTTATCTTGGCTGAAATTGCCTTGCCTGCACGGCCTGGAACCGAAACCCGAGCGAAGGACGTCAGGATTAACACATACCCCAATCCACCCTCACCTTCCAAGGGCGACCTCTCAGCTTTCCCTAGTTCCCGATATCTGGGTGGGACCTCCAATTACTGCGCACCCGCGGCTGCACTCTATGCTCTAGAATCCAATTCGCAAGCTTCGGGCAAGGGGCTGGAGGTTGAGGAAACACATGCAGAGACAAACCGACACACAGACCACCAATCGCTGGTACAAAGCCCTTCTTTAATAGCACCATGGAGGCTTAAATACCCTGCAGTCCATGGCCAACAGGTGAAAAGCCCATCCTCTGATCCTCTAGGCACAGCTTCTGGTATCTTCAATTAGAAGGGTCTAGCAGGGAAGAGCAGCTGAAGGCCAGGACTCAATTAGTCCCAACATTAGGCTTGTTTTTAGCTAGGCCTTATAACTTGAATTAATCCAGTTCTATTAATTTGCTTTGTGACTTTATTACTTTTACTCTGTACAGAGCCCATGTTGCTGTTCTGCCTCCTCCATGCCTGGTTGGCGACTGTCTCCATCGCTGCCCTTTGTCTTCCCAGCGTCCTCTCTGCCCCGCAAATCCTGCTTAGCGATTGGCCATTCAGGTTTCTTCACAGTGTACACAAAGATTATTCCACAGCACACATGTATGAAATAGCCTGCCTGAGGCCTCAGAGAAGAAACACTACCCAGTCTATGTTGTGTCTCAGGATCTGAGCTTCACCCCGAGAGGTCTGCCCATTTCCCCTGCTGGTTCTGAGCTGGAATGTGGGGGTGTGGATAGCATTTGCATGGCTAGAGATGGAGGGAGGCCCTTCCTGCTTACTTCAGCACAGTCCGGGCAGGTGAAGTTCAGGAGTAGAAGAAGGCCTGCCTACACATTCCTTAATCACTGTGTGCTAGCCCCTTCTGCTAGTCAGCCACTTGCAGCGGGACTGACTGTGGGAAGTTTTTCAATGAAGTCTCTGCTTCTTTCTCACGTCTGAGGTTCCTGTTGTTGCCCAGTTTCCTGCTGTGTGTGGAATGTTTTGATCCATTGATGCTTTTTGATCTGCCAAAGGGTGTGTTCCAAGTTAGGGTCTGAGGCCCGAAATGTTTCCAGCCCAGGGAAGGCTGCACAGAGAGCACTGCAGTCTTCTGGAGACTTGAGTCTTTCTCTTAGCTTTAGCTGACTCAGGCTCCCTCCAGTGGATGTCAGGTGCAGCTCGCTGACAGCTGGACCAGCTGTCGGTCCTGATGCTGCCCAGAGTCCATCCCCACCCCCCAAGGCTAAAGGAGTCAAGCTCCTCAGACTGCTCCACAGGCCAGTCACCAGAACTGGGTGTCCCCCGGCCCTCTGCGGGTCGGTTTACAAATTCAGGGATACCTGCCATACTCCTTGGTAATCTGCCAGCCAGCTCCCAGAACTGAGGACAGCTTTACTCACTAGGGCTTCATTACAAAGGCTGCGGTAGGTGAGCAGCCACAGATGGCAGAGTTATAGGGCAAGGTCTGGGAATAGGGGACTTAGGCCTCCCGTGGACTCAGGGCCCAGCCTTCTGGTGCATCTGTGCCATTACCAGCCCAGAAGCTATGAAACTTCAAGGTCTAGAGGTGGTAATGGTGTTTGTTATGTAGACTTGATCAATGAAATCATCATCCACATGGTCGAACCTTCCGGTCCCCCTCACTTCTGCTAGGCACGCAAGTGTTACAACTCTAGAGGGAAAGGTATCCTGACTTTTTGGGAAGTCAGTCTTTGTCTGAAGCTGGGGTGCAGTGGGGGATGGTCTCCCTGAAGGATGTAGCAATTCTGCTTCTCTCTGAGACAGCCATTGCAAGATGCTCCCAACACTAGGAAATCACAGGGGTTTTAGGAATCTGTATTGGCAGTGTGTGTGTGTGTGTGTGTGTATGTATGTGTGTGCATGTGGGTACATGTGTGTGCATGTGTGTGCGTGCATGTGGGTGCGGGGTCCAGCAGGGAGTGCTTGGGACACCCACACATCCTTCCGTTTGCCTTCTCCAGGAACCAGTGTATCAACCAGATGAAAGAGGTGAAGGAACAGTGTGAAGAACGGATAGAAGAGGTCACCAGAAAGAGAAACGAGGCCATCGTTTCCAGAGATGCAGGTGACAAAAACAGCCAGCGTCAGCAGGTAATTTGGGTCTGTTCTGACCTGGGTGCCCAGGAGCTGCACCTCCTCTCCTCAGCATTTTATTCTGACCTGTGTCTCTGTTCTCCCCATGGGTGTGGTTCTCTGTGATACAGTGGAGCAAATCCTGGTACCAGGATACCCAGACCCAACTGTGGATGCTGGCCCTTGAGATATAGCTAGCCTTTACCGTCTCCACCCCATGTGGGAGAAGCCGATGCTATTTGGCTGTTTGAGGCTGCTGAGGTGGAGATGTGAAATGCTGTGGCCAGGGTCAGTGTGGCCCCGTGGCAGGGCCCAGAGTAGCATTCTCTCGTGAGTTCTGATAGCAGAGCATTTATCTTTTCACAGGATGAACTTGCTTTCACTGATTTTTTTCATTTTAATTAATTTATGAACTAATTCGTGTATCTTTTATTCTACTTACTTTTGATTTAATTTACTAATTTGTTTCATGGCTTCTTAAGGTACAATCTTGATTCCTGGATACAGATCTGAAGATTCCTTTCTCATGTATGCATTCAGTGCTACAAATATTTTTTTTTGAAAAAGCATTGTTTTTATTGCAGCCTGTGAATTCTAGTAAATTGTTCTCATTTAGACCAAAATATTTTATCTATCTATCTATCTATCTATCTATCTATCTATCTATCTATCTATCTATCTATCTTTTTCTTCAAGACAGGGTCTCACTATATAGCTCAGGCTGTCCTGGAACTCACTCTGTAGTCCAGGCTGGCCTCTGACTCAGAGAGATCCACCTGCCTCTGCCTACCAAAGTGCTGAGATTAAAGATGTGACCAAAATATTTTTAAATTTGAGACTTTTACTTTAATCTGTGCAGTATTTAAAAGCTGTGCCTTAATCTCCACACATTTAGGCATTTTTCAGATACCTTTCTATTTCTAATTCCTTATTAATTCTTCTGTAGTAGAAGGGGAGACATGATGTGGTTCCAAGTTTAAATTTGCTATGATGGAGTTTTAGCCTAGAATGTAGTCTGTTTTGGTTAGTGTCCCCTGTGAGTGAGGTGGATGCTTTTCCTTTGGCTTCTCAGAACTTTTAATTTCCCTGCTGTAAATGGAAGTTTCTATTCTACCTGGTCCCTCAGCCATTCAGTCCCAACAAAACACAGAGGCTTATATTAACTATAAACTGGTTAGCCCAGTAGCTCAGGCTTACCATTAATTAGCTCTTACAACTTAAATTAACCCATAATTCTTATCTTAGCCATGTGGCTTGGTACCTTACTCAGTGAGGCTTTCTCATGCTGCTTCCTCTGTGTCTGGGGGCTGACTGCAGATTGAGTTTTCCTCTTCCCAGAATTCTCCTAGTCTGGTTGCCTCGCCTGTACTTCCTGCCTGGCTACTGGCCAATAAGCATTTTATTAAACCAATACTAGTGACAAATCTCTACAGGGTACAAGAGCATCATCCCACAGCACCCTGTAGTTTGACATGACACACCTTCTTAGTTTTTATTCTGCTTGGTGTTCTCTGGACTTCTTCCATCTTTAGTTTGGTGTTTGACATGAATTTGGAGGAATTCTTAAATCTTGATTTTCTAGATGTTTCTTTGTCTTAGCCAGGTCTGATCATTATGTATGTGTGACATTCAGAAGTTGTCTCCGCACTTCTACCCTGAGTGTTAGGGATCTACAGTGACCATGCGTGTCTGCCTCCCACCCTGAGTAAGAGGGATCTACAGTGACCATGCATGTCTGCC